AGGAGTCAGGGGCAAGGTCGTGGTCGTGGCGGCGGCCGTGGCCGCAGCAGCAGTCGTGGCCGCGGCAGAGGCGGTCGCGGCGGCGGCGGTGGCGGTCGCGGCGGCCGCTCAGGCGGATCCGGAGGAGTCGAGGAGAGCAAGGGAAGCAGCAGTGGAGGCGCCGATGGCGGCGGTGGCGGGGACTATAAGTTCCCGGGCCGGTGCTTTAGGTGTGGACATCGTGGACATCAAGCGATCGGCTGCACTACCAACGAGAAGGACTTCGTGCCGTGGTGTGCGCGCTGCGAGGGGTGGGGCCACACCAAAGAAAAGTGCGCGACGGAGGAGGCCGTCCTAGCGCAAGTGGTGGAGCATGAGAGCGACGTGGACTCCGTGGAAGACCAGGCGTTTTGTGCCGTGGCAGTCCCCCCAGGCGAGTGTGGTACCGTTGGTGAAGTAGGTCTAGTGGGGGTTGTGGAACAAGGCCAGGCGGTGTACGTGGCCGACACAGCGACCACGTCCTCCATGTTCCGATGTGCAGACAACTTCGTGAACTACCGTCAGCGTAGCGGTTGGGCAAAGGGGATCGGAGGCGACAAGGCCCCCCTTCCTCTTCTAGGATACGGAGACGTGACCTTAGTCCTACAGACGGAAGATGGTGGAGTACCCGTACCAGTACTGAATGCTGCCCATGTACCAGAGGCCCCCTACAACCTCCTCTCGCTGTCGTCGTTGGCGGAGGAGGGCCACACGTATTCGGGGATGAAGGGGGGCCTCACGCTGACCACGAAACCCGGAGGGGAGGTGTGGTTCCCCCGGACTGGAAAGCTGCTGACCCAACGAGGCTATCAAATAAAGCCAACGCTACACACCGCTTGTGCCGCACTCATTGCTCCTGGCGATGCGAAAGCAGCCACCCCCACTGACCTCAACGAGTACCACCTTGCGCACGGCCATTCCCACGAGACATTACTCAGGATCACGGCGAAGCAGCAGGGAGTGCAGCTGACGGATGAACCGCTGCTACCCTGTCTTGGCTGTTCGATGTCCAAGGGACAGGTGAAACCCGTCCAGAAAAGCACGAGCACACGCGCAGTTAAGAAGATATTTCGCGTGTATCTCGACTTGGGGGGAAAGGTGAACGCCAGAAGCATTGGTGGCAACTGGTACACACTGATCATCAGAGACGATTTCTCCCGTTGGACGCGTGTTTCCTTCTTGAAGCACAAGTCTGACGCAGCGGGTGGGTTTGAGAAGTTCCTGGCGGACTACCGAACGAAAGGGGTTCCGTGGGAGGTTTATATCGCACGTCCCGACGGTGGCGGCGAGTTCCAGGGGCAGTTTGCGGAAGTTGGCCGCAGACACGGCATCAAACAAGAGTTCACCCCCCCTCACACCTCAAAATACAACGGTGTAGCGGAGAGAGCGCTAGGGTTGATCACTGATGCCGCGCTTGCGTCACGCATCCAAGCGACGCAACTGTTCCACGACGCACCGAACCACCCCGGGTTGTGGGCCGAGGCCATTTCGTGTTCATGTCATCAGCTGAACTGCACCGCCACTAAATCAAACGAGGGAGACAAATCCGCCTACGAGATGTTCCACGACTCCCCACCG